CTGTCTGTAGTGGTCATGCCAAGTGACAAGAAAAACCTGTGTCTTTAAGGGGGTGGAACCTGTGGTCCCAGACTCAATGATGAGCAAATAAAGAGAAAGAAACAAAAGCAATTAACAAAAGAGCTGTTGTTCATTTAAAAAATAAATGTAACAAAATTATTCAGAAAGGTGTCTAGTGGTGTCTTGTTTTAAAAGGTAAAAACTAAGGCAAGAAAAAAATAGTAAAATAGACCCAGCTGATTGCAGATATGTACTTACCTACTTATTTGTGGAGGCCTAAAATAAAAAAATAAAAAAAGAGAAATAAATAAAACTTTTTTTAAAATGAATGAGAAAAAGAATTGCTGTAATTACAGGAATATTCATTTAAAATGATTTGTAAAATGCTTTTTTTAAGTTCTAAAACATTTTTAACTGAGACTTTAAAGCTTTATGCATTTGTTATTAATATTAGATTTTTTTATTTTATTTATTTCATCCTGGGAATTCCCTGTGACTAAAACGAATGATAGAAAAATAAAAATTAGTAAAGTAAAAAAATCCTTTTCAGAAAACATGCTTTACATGAAGCACGTGCGTTTAACAGAAAAACGGTGTTAAAGGGTTGGCTTTTTACTCACTCTTTGATCATCAGTCATCAGTCATTCCGAAGTCAGTGTATTTCCCACGGTCCCACGTTTCAATTTCAGTGTTAGAAAAGAAACCGCTCGGCTGCTGGGGCTGTAAACAGAAAAATTCCCGTGAAGCTGCTTCCACTTTCCTGAGCTGCAAAGGCGCTCTGAAGCTCCACTGCCGAGCAGCAGCTTTAAGTCAGGGAAGCAGCCCAGCTTTAACAAGCGCGTTCAGCCAACTCAAGTTCCGTTCACGACTTTCAAAATAAAACACAAGAGGTTTTTTTCACCACCTTTTTTTCTTTCTTTTTTTTTTTTATATGGACTAGCCCATCTCCTGCCTGACTCCAGTGTATGTGAAAAAAAACACGTCAGCCCTGACTCTATATAATTTCATAGACCAGGGTTATGCCTAATATCCCCAGGCACAAAGGAATGACTGTGCAGGTAGAAAGGGCTGTAAACTCCTCAGGGTGGGATAGGAGCTAAAAACACATGAGTTAGACAGTAAATGAAGTGATGATCTAAAGCCTAGTGAAGTACTAAAGCCTACTATTGAAAAATGAATATTTTGAACTGGGAATCGGGGAGCGCTATTGTCTTGAATTCACTTTTATTTATGTACCACTGAACTCATAAATGTCAGATTTTTGCAAATCATACTGATTTTATTTTCTTGGGGGTAAATGGATCACCTATTTCTGGGACCACAAAGGAGAGCAAGTATCAGTGGTAGGATGATGTGGCAGCTGTCAGACATGCAATGACTCTTCTAGGACACTTAGGGGAAGAGAGTTGCTTGAACCAAGAAACAGAATGACTAGACTAATGGAACTTCTTACTATCAACCAAATGTCTACTTTTTTCCATCTGTATTTTCTGCTACTACTTTATTAGTCAAAAGGAGGAGGAGAAGTAGCAAAATGCCTTTGCAGAAAAGAACAAATATCAAAAGATGACAGTCATGGGATCTGAGCATGTTGTGTTCATCGTTTAATCATTATTAAATTTTCAGCAGTAGACTCTAAACCAGTGGTAGGCAACCTTTTTGATGATGAGAGCCATCTAAAATTTCCTCAGAAGTCAATGTGCCATATAATTGCATTAGCAATAAATATAATAACCCTCTATATCAACAGTTACACACTATATAGAACAACTTTATAGAATTATATTTGTTCGCAGATGTTGGCAGCTATCAGCAGGTTTCACAATGAACACACCCGAAACTCT